AGACACTTCGGCCAGTTGGAGTTTTTTATTTTCTCAACGTTTCGACAAAAATCTTTGTCTTCGTCAGGAGAAATAAATAAAAAATAAACATTTGGCAAGGCGTTAAAAATTGTTCTGAGGTTGCAAGGGCGTTCTCACGCGATTTTTCGAATTTAGTATATCTAAAGAACGAGACAAAAACAAATATTAATATAAATTAAAAATATTAAAATAAACATTTTCATTTAGAGCAGTTTTTTACTGGCCTTAAGACTTCTATTGTTTGATTCGAAAAATACTAGAACATTACATAAACAAACATTCTAGAACTCGGAAAAAGCGAGACATGGGAGAATTTTTCTCACTTTGTTTTAATCAAAGCTTATAGATCAACATATTAACGACACACATTATATTCGAGAACTAAAGTTTCGATTGCGTAGAATTCTATTATTTCCTTAAAACGAAAAGTTAATCTCTCTCTTTCGGATAATTTAATTAAATATCTTATAATGGTATAGGTTAAGGAGATTCTCCGAAAACCCACCTTTTTTTAAAGAAAAAATAATTTGGCGCAAAATCGAAACTTTATGTCTTTAATTAAACAAAGCTCATACAACCGAAATACGTGGATTGATGGGCCAGCACAGTCAGTAGGATATCCTTTTACGCGTTATATTTTTGAGCCATCAATAATTGATAATATTAATATGGAATTTCTCCGAAAGTTTTAACTTAAATTGGTGGTATTTCTAGGTATATATTGAGCATAAACATAATTTATGGGGCGAAATTTTTCTTGTTTTCTGGAGTTAAATATTGCCGGATGTCTGACTAACATTAAGTCTAAGTACCTCCGTCGTTTACCTATATTAAGATTACCCTTTTAATGAGCATTATCCTTATTTGCGAGCTAGTTGTAAATCACATTGTATTATAGATGAAACATTATTTTGCTAGGTTCATTCACGAGATTGCTAGATTTACTCGTTAATAGAAGTTTTCCAGAGGAAGAAATGTTTATACAACATTGCTATATATTTCTTCAGTCCATATATTCTTCTTGAAAACAAGTCTCTTCAAAAATCTTTCAATCATAATCCAGTCTTCTTTTTTTTTTTTTCAAAAAGAGCTAACGTTCTGAAATTCAACGATATTCAAAACATCACCATGTTCTCTCGTTTAGTGATTTTTGTCTATGCAAATTGTGAAATATAACTTCAACCTTTCTTTAATAAACATTGGGCTATTAATTATATTCGGGGGGGGGGATACCTAGACTCTCGCTCTTTTGAGAAACTCGTGAGAGAAAAGTAAACTAAACATTTTGAATTAGATAAAATGGTTAGAGTATTTTAGAAGATTTACAATAGAAAATTAACAATAAATTGATTTATTTAAACCAAACACAAGAAAGCCTTCAAACAAAGTTCCTCTTTTTCGAGTTTTATCATAACTATGATGGATGTAAAATATTTATTAAAAACTTTAATTCATGACCATTCATTAATTGAGAGTATAGAGAAGTTGATTTAAAATTTTTGTGTAATGCAAAATAATCTATTTTGTCATTTCTAAGGAACTAGAACTTAGTTGAAATCTCAAACTTTTGGTGATTCTAGCTACAATAGCCTTCATAGAAATATTGAGTTATTAACGGAGTCCCGGTTTATTAGAAAAAGACAATAAATCTCTTTGCATTACCAAATCAAATCTACTTCCGTGTAATATTAATTTTATAATGGTCAAATGAGTTTTAAAATATATATTTCATAATTTTAAATATTTAGCTTTAAAATAGTTCAATGTACGCCGTGCACACGCCAATATTTCTTTTGGAAATAGTTACCCCACCATATACGATGATAATTCCGTAAAAGAACGACTTTGCTAAAAAGCTTATTTGTTTTAATATAATTTTTGTGTGTTTATTTTCCATTGTAATAAACATTTATCAACTATTTTTAGGTTTACTCATATAATTACTCATCTTATAACTTGTTTTATTTTTTAAATATAAATAATAACGTTATGAGTGGCACTGATCTCACTGGTATAACCACACACGTGGCTGTACCATGACTATATATTGGTATCTTACCAATCTAAACATCGAGGTGAAATAGTCAAATGTTTGATTCTCCACAATATATTCCTTATATTTTATAGATATGGAATATAATAAATGACAATATCTGTTTACACACAACATAATAAATTCCAGAATTAAATAATATATTACTTAGAGTGTGTGTTACAAGCTCTTACAATGAGAGCATATGATATTTCATCGTCATTATCAAAAATGATTTTCTCTATATATTCTAACACGAGAGAGATTTTGTGCATCGTTCAAAACGATATTTTTATATTGTGCATTATAATACACACTATATATCTTCGTGTATTTTACGAACTTTTATAAATAGTGAATATTTAAAAGAAATAGTTTTGTGTTGAATAATATTTTTTATCTATATTCTCATACAAGAGAGAGAAATATTCAGAAAATAAAATTGAGATGAATTAATTATCAAGATTTCAAATTATAAGAATACAAATTACTTTGGAAGTCGCAATTCTAACTTCATAATCAGTAGTATGATCTCTTTTGTGAAAGAAAGCACCAAATGAAATTGACAGTAAGATAGTTATTTCATTATGAATATTTCCCCCATCGAAACCCCTGAAGTATCCAAAAGGTAGTATCGTAAGAGGTAAAGGGGACAGAGGGCACCTCGAGTTCCGGCCGGGCGGGCGGTGCCAGCCGGTGCCGGGGAACAATCGCGTGAGTAGCCTTCTTCTATCTCCTGCATGCCACAACACGCCCAGGCACTAAAACACATCACAAATTTGTGCGCTTCTCTAGGACTTTTAATATTTAATTTGCAAAACTATAATCAAAATGTAAAATACACTGGCTTAAAAACAAAAGGAATTACATCACAATTAACATCTGAGGAGTTTTAAGGAGAGAGTTAAAGGAGTTTTAATATCGCCATCAACTATAAATGGAAAGAAAAATCTTTCCATTCTTATTTAGAAATGAGAGGAAAAAAATTGTATCATGGTTCCAAATGAATTGCTTAATTGGCATAAACGTAATCACATTTTAATATCATAAATGCAATTTTTTGCAATAGAGGATAAATAATAATATAAAAAAGAAAGCACAAGTTTGTGGATATATACAAAAACGTATATTAATATATTATAAACTGTCAACCCATCGCGCGTCATTAAGTGAAGTCAAAGTTCAGGTAAAAAGAGGTCTTGAATGAAGATTGCCTTATCACAATTATAGAATTGCTTCATTATTGCTATGATGTTATAGAAAAAATTGCTGAGAAAAAGAGACAATAATTAGTTATTGATTATGATGGATAATTGATGGTAGTGTGTGTGTTCCTTTGTAGAAAGCCAGTGTAGTTTACAAACTGAGAAACTAACTATCAAACTTGTTTAGTCAAGAGAATCAAGACTTCAAGCTAAAGAGTATTCTCAGCCTTACTATTCTCAGCCTCTCGGTTTATTTGAGCAAAAGTTTAATTGATCTCATTTCCCTTTTTTCATTGCTTTTCCAAAGTTTTGAATTTTGGATTTCATTCACCAGGTTTGGAATTCGTTATATTATTTTCTAGTAGTATAGTAATATATTCTGCGAATGTGAATGTTTTGTTTTTCATTTATTTTTAAATAATTTGAGTATTGCTGATAAGCATGCTTATGCATGTTCAATAAAATACAATGTAAATAGTAAACATAATAGTCAATGTGAACGAAAATAAATACTTGTAAATATAATTAAATTTGATTTTGCATGGATTTAAAAATAAATTTCAATGTTTTACTTTTTAATGAATATAAGGTGCAATGTAAATGTTGTGTTTGAATCTGGCTTGGCATGTGCTAATTTCCTATAAATATTAAATTTAATTATCTCAAACTTCATCATTATATACACTTACTCTTATACCTTCAGCTGAACTTGTGTCTACCTTAAATAGAACAGAAACTACTGAAGATTTGAATGAAGCATCATAAGGAATCTTTACAAGAAGAAAAAAAGCATGCAATATTGGCGTTGTTCAATATATAATACAAACCTATTACAAATATTAAAAATTTCAACAAACTAAAATAAATTAATTTGAAAACAAATTCAAGAGAAAACGCCTAAGCACAAATACAGATAAAACACCGCACACATATATATGTATGGTTTATGATTTAATAAAACATAAATAAATTAGAAAAGCGCATTTATTTACATAAAATTTGCGTCGCTCCATAGTTAATGAGAATAATAGTACTTGAAAAAGGATTCACGCGTTTAAAAAAAAAACACCCTTCAAGTTCAAGTACCAATTATGGTAATTAATCTCAGACCTCTGGTACTCCGCGCGCGCGCGACCCAAGTTTCAATTCATACACTTTATTCTTTCTCCACACGATATTTTATTACGCACTTTATAATATTTTGTACAAATTATTTTTCATCCATTAATATATATCTACGAATCAGACTTTATAAATCAAGGAAATTGCTTTCAATTTTCACACGAAATGTTTGAGATTTGAAAAAAAAAAAAACGAGTGTAATTATCGGAAAAAAAAATAAGTTAAAATGGAATAGAATCATAAAGATATTTGGAGAGGTACATAAATCCTGACCATAATAAAATCAGAAAAACATTTGGAGGGACATAAACCCTAAATATAAAAAAAAAAAAATCAGAAAAATATTTGATGGGACATAAACCCTAAACATTAAAATATGAAGTTATTTCGAGGGACTTATTTTATAAACATAAAAAAAAAAAAAAAAAAAAAAAAAAGATTTTAAGAAATTAAGCTAATTTTACATCATTGATATAACAGGTCCTACATATATCGTAAGACGCTCATTGCTCAGAGCATATGTAAAGTCCTAGGAAGACGCTGCAAGAAGCTTGCACGAAGTCACACACCCAAACTAAGGAGAAGCAACCAAGCGATGTGGGTAGGAACAAGAAAGATGGGCGGAGGTGGCTTCGACTTTTCTACCGCATCTTGTGAGGTTGGCAGCAGGAGCGGTGGAAATGTCGAAGTCACTTGGCGCCTCTTCCATCGCAAGTCTTCTGGATGTAGTGACGCTCGCATGTACATATACATATTCTTTAGATCGCTCTATCTTTTATATACTCTTTCCATTTATTCGAATATTTCTTTTCATTCTTTTCTTTATTTCCCAACCTTCTTCCAATATATTTTTATATTTGAAGTCTTGTTTATTCTTTCCCTTCTCAGAAGAAATCCAATCCACAAAATCTTGCTAGTTTGAATATTTAAGGAAACTCCAGCTTTGGTTTGAATTACTTTTTCTAATTCTTTTATAAAAAGTCCATTCTTCTTATAATTTCTTACGATTAATATACTTTTTCTCTTTAGCAAATATATCAAAAATTAATATCTTTAAGTTATTTGATTTACGTGTCAAAATTGCGTTTTATATTAAAATCAATTTAGGGGAATTTTGAAACTTTTAAAAAAGTCAATTTGTGATGTGTTTTAGCATACAAAATTTCTTAGAATAATATATCTCTAACACAAAACCTTCTAATATAAGTAAAAGTATTAAATACTATTATTTATAATTATTTATTATATATATATGAAGAACATATTTAGCTGTGAAACAATACAAGAATATATATCAGTAGGTAACTTCACAATAAAGAATACTTAGTTTTAGCTAAAATAAATTTTTATAGAGTAGGCGTGTAGCCTCTATATGCAATAAATGTGAATATATATACCAAAATAGGCACTCTACCCTTTGAATATGCGTTAAAACAATGCATTTAGTTTATTATCCCAGTATAAAACTTTACAGTGATGATAAGGAAGGAATCGCAACACCAATTTTGAGAAATTCAGTCAAATATTCCACAAGTATACCATGGCTTTGGGCTATGACCCTCATCAATACAGGGACGGCTTCGATTTCATAACATCCTACGATAGGAGTTATGAAATTTGTTGAATTTGCCAAAAAGGTATTTAAGCGTTGAAATGGTAGGGCTGATATTCAAATTATAATACAATATAAAGTTGCCAGAGGATGATATCCATATACCAAAATAGGCAATTATACCCTTTGAATATGCGTTAAAACAATGCATTTAGTTTATTATCCCAGTATAAAATTTTACAGTGGAGATAAGGAAGAAATCTCAACATTAATTTTGGGAAATTCAGTCAAAAGTCCCACAAGTATACCATGGCTTTGGGCTATGGCTCTCATCAATACAGGGATGGCTTCGATTTCATAACATCCTACGATAGGAGTTATGAAATTTGTCGAATTTGCCAAAAAGGTATTTAAGCGTTGAAATGGTAGGGCTGATTTTCAGGCTATAATACAATATAAAGTTGCCAGAGGATGATATCCATATACCAAAAGTTCCTTCCTATCCCTATAAATATGCCTTAAAACAATGAAATATGATCATCACCCCAGTAAAAAACTTAAAGGTTGTGATAAAGAATGTATTGAAAAGGGCCATAGTCTAATAAAGCCAGGTACAGGTTTGATTTTGTATGAATTTGCCAAACCTGGTGTTTTGGCTCATTTTTATCACTACCTTAAATTTTTATTAGGGTGACAGACATAATGCATTGTGTTTTAATACATATTTAAAGGGAGAGGTGACTCTATCGGTACGTAAAGATATATACTACGCATACATATCTGATCCCTAGAAAACTCAGGTATGTGTAGACAATTGTGATTCGAAACAGCGATCTTTCATAGTTTAGATGCCCTATACGGAATGATTATTTCAATTTTTAAAGTTCAGAAATTTGGTAATTTCACATTTTCACCAGTCTGTTGTTACAAGCAGCAAGCTGAGACAATGGGACCTAATGGAGATCGTTTAAATGACTTGAGAAATAAGCAACAACAATAACACAAGCTTGATTCGATGAATATAGCGCCTGCAGGGGGTCGGGTTGCGGTGAGTCAGGTGCCAAGTCCTACCGTCCCCAGGGTCCATCAGTCACTCCGCGGTAACCCAAGACTTCAGCGGGTTCCTCTCTTCACGGCCAAATTACCTTTGAACTGGGCTCACGATAATGTCAGACAGTCATTGAGAGGGTTTAGGTTTTCACGTTGGGATTGCAAGTAGATCGCGTGGAGAGTGTCCAGAAATAATCGGAAACTTTATAAAATCTTAAAATTTTAATCCTTAATTCTTTTGTTTACCTCAAAAATGTTAGTATCTTGTATTTTTCGGAATATTAATGTCTCATATCATTCGTTTTCCATCCTTTCATTTTTTAGAAATTAAATTTTTGTGCTATAAATATTTGTTTTAAATACATTCCCCCTTTCACTTGAAAAATATATTTTTTTTCAAATTTAAATGCATTTATATTCTTATTTAAGTTTTTTTTTTAAGTTGTGTTTTGTTAGGAATCATTTTCAAAATCCATATTGTAACTTTTTTTTTTTCAAGTCGAAAAATCAACCATTGTTTCCTGTCCGCATATTTTCCCTCGAGATATTTCGTTTTTTTAAAACTACGATTTTTTCTCACAATGATCTTTTTTAAATGAAAAAAAGAAGATAATTTGTGTGAGAAAAATCTTTGTAGTTTTTAAACGCTTTTCATATTTTACCTTGAATTAGGAATAGATATTTAGTTTTCATTATATCCAGCATGTAAGACAACTGTGTGATTTTAAGTCAAGACAAAGATAATTTTCGTCAAAGGGAGAATGCTATGTTATCCAAAATCCAGTTTGTAGGAGTTCATTGGCAATATATTTTTAATTACTTTGATTTTACAATTTGGTCAATTTTTAATATGCTTTGGTTTATTTATCTTGTGCATTCAATTTCCTTCCATCAAATTTTATCAAATAGGGGATTTAGAAATAATTTCCGACCAAAGTAACGTGGACACCATAGGTAAAAATATTTTAAGCAGTTTTCTTATGGGGGGAAAGGATAATATTAAGTATCATTTTTTAAAACAGCGAAATGTTTCCATTTGAAAGATTGCGATGTCAAAAATAATAGATGAGCTTGCTTGAGATATATGCTCGAATACGTGTTATTGCACATTGAGGTATGGAACCCACTTGTGTGCGAAACTGTAATGAAAAGTTTCGGCACATAGTCTTAAAAATGACATCCCGATCTACCTTTATCGGGTTCACTGTTTTAGTCCATTTAATTCTGTTTAGGAAAGCTATGCATGTACTATAAGGCTTAACGTAAAATAATTACTACATTCGTTAAGCACCGATTTTTTGGGAATAAGGATCATATCGATGGATAAAGTATTTTGAGCAGTGGCCTAACTGACCGCACTCTCCCTTTTCCCATAGAAAACATACAACCAGCGCCATCTCCAAACAACCATACCATTCCTACCCATAGAACGTCCCTAAGAGTCTGAGAGACAGTTGGTTAGTATGACAGAGGATTTTAAAATATTTTGAATAATATTACAAATTGAATAAAAATGCTTCAAACAATAGATACACTCTAGTTATCAACAGAGAGATTGTTTAAAGGTAATTTGATATAGTTAAGATATACACTATGAACTAAAGTAAGTGTAAAGTCTTTGAAGTCACCGAACTTCTGTTTTTTTTTTTTTAAGGAGACATAGGCAATTTTGTTCACACTTGTTTATCTCGTGCGTTTTCAATAAAGGTCACTATGGTATCAAATACCTTTCAGAGTTATTATCTGAATTCCTATATAATGTTAAAAGGTACAACTTCCTTTTGTACATGAGTGTATTTTTGAATAATATTACAAATTAAATTAAAATGCTTCAAACACTATATAGACATTAATCCTTGCACTTCTAGTTATCAAAATTATGCGTATACTTAGGAAACAATTTCCCCTTCAGTTAATTAAAAATAGCTTGTAAAACGACTTTTGAAAATTATCCGGAAAACGGAAAAAATAAAGTGTCCAGGGATGGAAATCTTCACAATTCATCCTTTCATACTTCATCCCTAAGGTTAGAAATAATCGTTATTTCTCCTTAAAATGAATTTCGATTTTTCGTTCAAAAGAAACACATGCGGGATAATTTCAAATGTCGTTTTACAATCATAAGCCGCATTATATTGTATTATAAAATAGGTTATTAAAATAAAAATATTTTTCTTGCAAATTGTGTTTCAGCTTACAATATATTTTTCCTATATAGATATGGTATATATTGAGTGGATTAAAACTATTTAGAGAGTGGTAAATAAAATGCACCAATATGCCTCGATTTGATTCCTTGAACATTTATACTCTGTCTACAATATTTCAGTCCTTGAAGCATAAAGGTAAGTGCAATTTGCCTCGGGGACTCGATGGACTCGCGGGGAAAATAAAAGTAGGTCATTTGCTATATCTTAACCATCCTTTGCTTATGGTCAATAAATTTTCTAAACACATGATGAAATATACCTACAGAGGAAAATAACTGCTCATAAGCCTTTTATGAGGCTTCTCCTGGAAGCGTATGTTAAATTTCTTTTATTATTGTTATTATTGAAGAAATATAGACGACAATCAACAGAATCTTATATTTATGGTGAGGATACCGCGAAAAGCAATGTTTATATAAGCGTTTTGATAAATATTAACTACCTCATTATTGTATAGATAGAGGCTACCTTGCCGGCATTCATAGTTCTTCAAATTAAAGATACTTCGGTCTGTAAAGATTTACTGGCCGAAGTATCTTTAAAATGAAGAACTACCTCATTATTATATATTTCAATGTTCATTTGAGAATATAACTTATAGAGAGAATATATATTATATATTATATATACATAAGTATATATGAGTATATAATAGAAAATATAAATATCTGCTAATTTTATAATGCTCTATTTATTATATCGCTTCTCGACATTTTGGCTAAAATCAAAGTTTAGTATCTCCTCATAATATAACTTGTAAACATTGACCTTTTTAAAATAAAAACACTATCTGTTTTTTACTTCATATATTTATGGCAATACAAATTTCCACCCTTAATTTTTACATGCTTAATTTTAAACAAACATCTATATGAAAGTAAAAAGTTGGT